TCATGCAGATAATTAAAGATTTAAAGTCATCTGACTCTGTTGGTGAAGATGGCATTAGTACAAATATTGTAAAGCAATGCTCCCACTTGATTCCTGGTGTAGTTACCTACTTAGTAAATATCTCTTTAGAGGAGGGTAAGATTCTCAGTTGCTTGAAAATCGCAAAAATCATTTCCATCTACAAGAAAGGAGAATCCAGTTCTGTTGAAAACTATAGACCAATATCACTGCTCAGCCCATTTGTGATTTGTGAAAATACTCGAAAAGCACGTAGCTAGTGAAATACTTCGACAAAAATCAATTGTTCAATGCAAGTCTGTTTGGCTTTTGTGTGGGTTTGTCAACTACTACTGCAATAATAAATTTCTTGAACTGTCTTTATGGCGGTCTTGACATGGGCAAAAAGAGCATTGGTATATTCATTGATTTGAGCAAAGCCTTTGACCTGGTGAATTATAAGCTATTGTTGATGAGACTTAAAAGCTATGGAATAAGGGGACTTCCACTTGAATGGTTTCGTGCCTATTTTCTAACAGATACCAGTACGTCGAAATCACGAAGTACAGATCAGAGAAGCGCTTAAGTGAAGTGGGATTCACACAGGGTTCTATCTTGGGACCATTGCTGTATATAATTTTTGTGAATGACTTCAGTAGCACTAAGTATGTTATGTATGCCGATGATACATTATTATTGGTAAATACCGACCATTTAATATCGATGGCGGAAAGTGCTACTGAAGAACTGCGGGGTACACAGCAATGGCTCCTGGATAATGGGCTGCTGCTCAATGCAAGCAAGACGCAGTTTATAAAGTTCTCATATACAAACCATAACCTCGATTGCAGCTTGCTGGTCAAGTCTATCAATGGTTCCATTCAGCAGGTTGGCTTTGTCAAATTTTTGGGTATCCATATAAACAGTTGCTTAAAGTGGAATGCTCACACTGATTATACATGCAAAAAGATCGCCTCATTCCTGTACTGCATCAGTCAGCTACGCTTTGTGGTCGATAGATCTTTGCTACTGACCTACTATTTTGCATATATCCACTCCACAATTTCATACGGTATCATAGCCTGGGGTGGTTCCACAAGAGCAATTCGAGTATTCACTATGCAAAAAAGAGTCGTGCCTTCACTGTTAGGTCTGAGCAGAAGCACCAGCTGCAGAGATTCTTTCAAGCGGCTTGGAATACTAACTGTTGACAAATATGAAATCTAAGATAGCTGAGTTTCCAACATTGAATTATAATAATAAGTACTCGACTAGGAATTCGCTTGTCCTGCAGATTCCTGCTCATAGGCTGTCAAGAACAGAGATCAGCCCACATCAAATGGGTATTAGGCTGTTCAATAAATTGCCAAACACCTTTAAAACCTTGCCAATGCCATTATTCAGACATAAACTTAAAGCTCTATTAAGACACAGAGCGTACTATTCTTTGGACGAATATTTCTTAGATATCCAGCTAGATCAAGATGCTTAACTATTTCAACTGTGAGCTCTGTATTAGTCCCATATATATTTTTTACTGTAGCATATGGTTCTTGTATTTTATTTATATATTTTAACTTGGCCGATTTTTAATATGTACTTGTATTTTTGTTCATTGTTTCTGTGACTGTCATATATTTCATATGTGTGTTGTTTTTGTTTTTATTTATCTATTTTTGTAATGCTTTCCTTAGTTTCAAGATAGAGTACCTTGACGTGTTGTATGTCATGGCAGTTGATCTACAGAACAAATAAAGATTATTATTGTTATCGCAAGAGAAATTTAGTGTCGTGTAGTACATTCTCGTAGATGGCTACTGTCAAAATTTCAGCCGAATCGGTCTCGTAGTTTAGTTTTCATCGCGTGTGGAAGCGGGCGTATCTGCAGATTTTAGAAAAATGGAAAAAGAGCAATTTGGAAGGGAGCTAGACCACTACAGAGCAGTGATTGACGCTGTTTATGTGCAAGCCGGAAGAGTTTCTGCTTCGTTTCGTGACCGTCCACGAAACATTGGTCCACTGGTACACATCAGAGGCCAAGGAACAGTCGAAACAGTGGACTTCACCCGGCAAACGTACTCCGAAGAAGGCGAAGACTGACGTATCTGCCGGAAAAGTGATGGTCACCATTTTCTGTGATTCACAAGGTGTGATGTACATCGACTACCTGGAGAAGTGCAAAGTGCGGTCACAGGGCTCTACTATGCCGAATTGCAGATGAAACGGCCCCATTTGGCGAAGAAAAAAGTGCTCTTTCACTGACATCGCACCGGCTCAAACTTCCGCCGTCGCCCCAACCAAAATTGGTCAAATAAGGCTACGAACTGCTGCCCCGTCCACCGAATTCTCCATATTTTACCCCGTGCGACTTCTTTTCATTTCCATATTTAAAGAAGTCACTCTCCGGGTAGAAATTTCAGTCGAATGAGCAGGTTATCGCCGCCACGGAGGCCTACTTTGCAGACCTCCAGAAAAACCGGTGTGAAGTTGGCAGACAAAATTTAGCGGACAATTTGCCGAAGATACCCGAATGACCAGTGGCGTCGACATCCTCGACCAGAATGTGATTGTGAAGGATACAGCTAACGTCTCGCAACAATAAATATATATGCACGAGAATAAGCACCCCTATAGGAAGAATCATTTTCCACCCCAATTAAAGAATTCGCAGGAACAAGACTTAACCCAAAACCTTTCTTCGAATTTCCACTTACATATATTGTATATATGGTATTGAAAGTAATTAATGAGCTAAATAGCATATACTGCGAAGATCTCTAAAAGGGTGGTAGATAAAAAAATATAAATAAAACTTCATTTTCACCGCCAAAAAATGATTCCTCAAAATGGTTTATACTCTATTTCAGAGAGACAATTCATGAAAGGCTAGCAGATAAAATAATGTGTTTATAAATTCATTTTCACCCCCAAGGAAATGATTCCCCAAAATCAGTTGTACCTCAAAAAATACTCTATTATAGAGACAATTTATATGCTAGGTGGCATGGTGCGAGAAAGCTTCTGACAGGCTGGCAGATAAAAAAATATGTTTACAAATTCATTTTCACCCCTAAGGAAATGATTCTTCAAAATCAGTTGTACCTCAAAACAATACTCTATTATAGAGACAATTTGTAGGCTAGGCTAGGGGGTGAAAATGAATTTATAAACATATTTTTTTTATCTACCAGACTATCAGAAGCTTTCTCACACCATGCCACCTAGCCTATAAATTGTCTCTATAATAGAGTATTTCTTCGAGGTACAACTGATTTTGGGGAAACATTTCCTTGGAGGTGAAAATGAATTTATAAACATATTTTTTTATCTGCCAGCCTTTCAGAAGCTTTCTCACACCATGCCACCTAGCCTATAAATTGTCCCTATAATAGAATATTTTTTTGAGGTCCAACTGATTTTGGGGAATCATTTCCTTGGGGTTGAAAATGAATTTATAAACATATTTTTTATCTGCCAGCCTTTCAGAAGCTTTCTCATACCATGCCGCCTAGCCTATAAATTGTCTCTATAATAGGGTATTTTTTTGAGGTCCAACTTATTTTGGGGAATCATTTCCTTGGGGGTAAAAATAAATGTATAAACATATTTTTTTATCTGTCAGCCTTTCAGAAGCTTTCTCCCATCATTCCACCTAGCCTATAAATTGTCTCTATAATAGAGTATTTTTTTGAGGTACAACTGATTATGGGGAATCATTTCCTTGGGGGTGAAAATGAATTTATAAACATATTTTTTTAACTGCCAACCTTTCAGAAGCTTTCTCACACCATGCCACCTAGCCTATGAATTGTCTCTATAATAGAGTATTTTTTTGAGGTACAACTGATTTTGGGAAATCATTTCCTTGGGGGTGAAAATGAATTTATAAACGTATTTTTTATCTGCCAGCCTTTCAGATGCTTTCTCACACCATGCCCCTAGCCTATAAATTGTCTCTATAATAGAGTATTTTTTTGAGGTGCAACTGATTTTGGGGAATCATTTCCTTGGGGATGAAAATGAATGTATAAACATATTTTTTCATCTGTCAGCCTTTCAGAAGCTTTCTCACATCATGCCACCTAGCCTACAAATTGTCTCTATAATAGAGTATTTTTTTGAGGTACAACTCATTTTGGGGAATCATTTCCATGGGGGTGAAAATAAAATTTTAATTATATTTTCTGATCTGCCACCCTTCAGAAGCTTTCTCACACCGTGCCACCTAGCCCAAGAATTGTCTCTGTAATAGAGTATTTTTTGAGATATAAATCATTTTGGGGAATCATTTTTTTCTGGGTGAAAATGAAGTTTCATTTAATTTTTTTTATCTACCACACCTTCAGAGATTTTCTCAGTATATGCTATTTAGCTCATTAATTACTTTCAATACCATATATACAATAATCCGTAAGTAAAAATTCGAAGAAAGGTTTTTGGTCCTGCGAATTATTTAATTGGGGTGGAAAATGATTCTTCCTATAGGGGTGCTTATTCTCGTGCATATATATTTATTGTTGCGAGCTGTTAGCTGTATCCTTCACAAACACAGTCTGGTCGAGGATGTCGACGCCACTGGTCATTCGGGTATCTTCGGCAAATTGTCTGCTAAGTTTTGTCTGCCAACTTTACACCGGTTCCAGAAAACGTATTTTTCAAACGGGTTAAAGAAGTTGGAGTACCGCTGGATCAAGTGTATCTAGCCTAAAGGAGACTATGTTGAGAATAAATCACCACTTTTCAAAAAAAAAATCGTTTTTCTTTTGTCGGCTTTGTACTTGTACTTATCAGGCCGCCCTCGAATTTATCTGTAGCCAGTGTAACTTTAGTAGATGTATTAGTTTCTATAATTGGGCTTGACTTCTTTTCATTACTTCATCTCATCACTGTATATGAAATTAGTTATTAATTGTAAAAAAAATAATATTCATTGATAAATTGTATTTATTATGTATGCGGAGTCTCTTGGTTTTGCTTTTACATTCCTAATTTTCGTTTTTCAGGTATGACGCCATTGCTAGCAGCGGCAGTGACAGGACACAGCCACATAGTAGAATATATAATAAAAATCCCTCATCTTGTATCAAGACGAGAAAAGATAGATGCGTTAGAGTTACTAGGTGCGACAAGTGTCGACAAGAAACGTGATATGATTGGTGCTTTAGAATTATGGAAACGAGCGATGAATGAAAGGTAAGAAAACACGAATTAGTCTAACAAGAAGTGATTACTAATATGAATAGTGTAATAACTATACTAAGTGACATATAAATCCGAACACCCAGTTTAAATGGTTTTATTTTAATAAAATTTGGTGAATGTATTTATCTAACTGTAAATAACAAGTGAAAAAATTTTCAGCCTTATCAGTTGGACATTCCGGTTATTATACCGTTTTTTTTTTAATTCACTAACACTCTAAAAATGAATATTTCAGCCGCAGTAAAGAATCAACGTTGGCGGATTTTGGTTCTTGACATCCTTTACGATCGGTTACGATGCCTAGAGTACGGAGACCTGTACGATTTCGTCAACTTAGTGAGTTTGATAGGGGCCGTATAGTGGGACTTCGAAAAGCTGGACTTTCTTTTCGGGCAGCTGGACTTTCTTTTCGGGCAATTGCAGTTAGAGTGCAAAGAAGTGTAGACACTGTGGTTAGATGTTGTCAGGCATGGCTTCGAGAAGGCCGTACGCAAAGAGCAAGGGGCACTGGACGCCGCCGTAGAACAACAGACCGTGAAGATCGCCGCCTAAGATTATTGGCCTTAAGGGACCGTTTCTCCACTACCAGGTCCATTGCAAATGAATGGTTTGCAGAACACGGAAGACCTATTGGCATGCGAAGTGTTCACCGACGAATGAGAAGTTTTGGCTTATTTTCATACCGGCCACACTGGGTCCTCCCTTTAACTCGAGAACACCGACGTAATCGCCTTGAGTGGTGCAGACAACGGTCACTCTGGGATCAGGAATGGAACAGTATTGTCTTTAGTGACGAGTCTCGATTTTGTTTAGGCATGCACGATGGTCGTGCCAGGTTTAGAAGGCGACGTGGTGAAAGGAGGAATCCACAGTTTTTTGTTGAAAGACATGTTCATCACACTGTTGGAGTTATGGTTTGGGGTGCTATAGCTTATGGTTCCAGGTCACCTTTAATCTTCATCAGAGGTTATATGAACGCGCAGCGTTATATCCACGAAGTTCTAGAACCCCATCTTTTACCCTATCTTGACACCCTGGCAGATCGAACTTTCCAACAAGATAATGCCCGACCACATGTTGCAAGAGTCACAATAGACTTCTTTCAACATAATGATGTCACATTGTTACCATGGCCACCAAGATCTCTCGACTTATCCCCGATTGAGCACGTGTGGGATATGATGGGTAGGAGATTGCTCAATTTGTAACGTCCTCCTCAGACTCTAGAAGCACTTCGAGAGGAGTTGGTGGTTGCCTGGAATGAGATACCACAGGAGGACATTGACCACCTGATCAGAAGCATGCCTAGGCGCGTTGGAGAATGCGTAGCACATCAGGGTGCATCCACACATTATTAAAGGTTAAAGGGCTTTAAATCAGTGCAATCATTTTGAAATTTTTATCATTTACTTATTATGCTTCATTAAGTACTTATACAAAATTTTATTAAAATAAAACCATTTAAACTGCGTGTTCGGATTTATATGTCACGTAGTATATAAACAAAAGGTTTGTTCCAACAAGCAGTTCAGAACAATTCCGAATTATTTATCTGCGCATGTCCGAGGTGAATATAGTTCAAAAGTATTATAATTCTGAACTATTCTGTGGGAACAAAACATGACTTGTTGTCGAAAACATAACCTTATTTGAAATAAAATTTAAAACTATCAATTTCTGTGTGCTAGACCTGAGTAACTTGGTGAATTATTATTAAGAAATAGTGTGATGTTCTGTCTTTTTTAATGCTAAATAATTCATCATTTTGCTAAAGTAGCAGAGGAGGAAGTTGAGTGAAATGTTGACAACACTAAGCCGTTAATTGACTTAAATGAAAGAAGTATATAAGATTAATATTACTAATGATTGAAATAAATTGAATAAAACTAACAATAGAGTGTCATTCCCAAAGAGAGGCCTTGGGCGGCTCCAAGTGCCGATAAGAACAGGGCGCGCAAAAAAGTAGAACAAATATATTTTTTGAGGAAAGAAACATACTTGCAAACTAAACTTTAATATACAAACGTTCTTGTAATAACTATCTGTAAGAAGTTTTTCCCCAGTGCCGTGGTGTATGTACTTTCTGACCTCCCCTCGTATTCACGTTATCTCTGTAAAACTAAATTTTTATAAACTACTAATTTATAGGTTAAACAAGATGCTTTCGTCCTTCCGGCCAAGAAAAGCAGACATCCAACCATGGACAGCTGTTTCGTGCTTCTTAGCTACTCATCAGCATGGTATAGGCTTGGTCTCTTAAGTCTGGACGAATAAACGAAAGTATCGCAATGATCCTCTCTCTCTCTCTCTCTCTATATATATATATATATATATATATATCGGGTGCGCGATCTTTTATGTCGGTATTGACTTTGATATTTACCAACCGAGTGATTTGGTTATACGTGTTTCTGGAACGTCATTTTACTACAATTTTAGTCATGAATCGCTTTACACCGAAATAACGCGCCGAAATAGTCACAATGTACATTGAAAATCGTCGCTCAGTTGTGTTAACGCAACGTGCATATTGTCGAAAATATCGTGGCAAACAGGCACCGTCTGACAATACTATCCGTCGTTTGGTATCGAATTTTCTTGAGTACAGGACAGTGGGAGATCGTCAACATGCATCAACCACCAAGACGTTCCAATGAATTGGTTGAAGCGGTCAGAGACAGCGTTGCCCAGAACCCAAAAGTGTCGTATCATCACCGCGCTCAGCATTTTGGCATCAGTGGAACCACGTTGCGGCGCATTTTGAAAGATGATTTGCATTTGTTTCCTTATAAGGTGTAGTTAACACAAAAAATATTGCCGTCCACGTCGCTTGGAATACGCCCAAACAGTCGCTCGCATGGTTGATGCTGCACCTGATTTTTGGAAGCAAATTGTGATGACTGACGAGGTCCATTTCACGCTCTCTGGCGGCGTTAATAAGCAAAACTGCCGCATTTGGGGGACGGAAAATCCACATGAGATCCACGAAATGCCGTTGCATGACCGAAAAGTGACTATTTGGACCGGCGTTTGCGCCAGATTGGGCCATTTTTCTTCAACGAAAACGAAACAGTCGTTGGAAATCGATATCGGTGAATATTGGCTCATTATGTCTACCCACAAATGCGTGAAAAAGGTCTTGATGGTTACTGGTTTTAACAAAACGGTGCGCCATGCCATACTGCAAATGAAACAATCCAGTTTCTGCAACAAAAATTCCCAGGACGTCTGATGTCGAAAAGAGGTGACATTGACTGGCCACCCACTTGATGCTGCACGAAATGGTGTGTGGATGTTTCACGATGTAACATGCAATAATTTTAAATTTCATTCCAAATATTTTGAATGCGTTGCGATGTGTTCCTGACATACAGGTGTGTGTATTTTTTACCAATTTTAACGAATGTACCATGGATCCAGCTTTCACCATGTTACTAAATGTTTCCCTCAACTTAACCTTTAATAACATTTAGCAACAATATCACATACTATTCTCCTGATGATGATGACATAGTCCGTGGAAGGCTAGAGACAAATAAAGTATAAAGAGTTCTCATCGCTTGAATTTTGTCGAAGTACCCAACTAAAGGCAGAAGCTTTATTTTTCCACCCAACTGGTCTAGACGACAATGACCACGTCTCAAGTTATATATATATATAGGTGAAAAAATTAAAGCTTCCGCCTTTTGTTGGGTACTTCGACAAAATTTAAGCAAAGAGGACTCTTTATACTTTTTTTAATTCTCTCTAGCTTTCAATGGACTTTGCCATCATCATCAGAAGCTGCAATTATAATGATAACAGTAGCAACAAAAGTGTAAAATGAATTTAAATTGACTCAACTTACAGTAGTATGTGAGGATGTTGCTAATTGTTGTTTACGTATAGGATGAGGGAAACGTCCAGTAACATGGTGAGAGCTGGATAGATTGTACAATGGTCAAAATTATATAAAATATGACAAGAACAAGTTAAAAACAGATTAAAAATTATTTAAAAAACATTAGAGCATTACATCGTGAAGCCACTTGATGATTGCACAAATTAGTGGTCATGGAATAATAAGTGAGATGAAATCCTTTGACAGAAGGCCGAAGGATGTCAATGTCTGTGTTGAAAGATGGAACGAATTGTGGGCGTGTGCCAAACGTTGCCAAATCACTTCAGATGATGTGATTTTCAGAATTTTATGTAACAATTTGTTAAACCGACCAGAGGCAGTTGAATAAACTATATTTTAATTAATGGGAATTTAAATTAACAATTATTAATAAATCGTGAGAAGAGAATTATTATATTTTGAGTGGAATGAAATTTACTGGTGGAATCGGCCAAAACACAGATTCTAATTATGGTTGTGAAGAGTCGAAATTTGGGGAGATATGTAAGTTCTCCAATTTTTCGCAGTTTAGCAAATATGAGTAAATGACACTCAGTTGTTTAACATCTGTCTTTTTGTTGATACAGTTGTTATTCATGAAGATGTGGGACATTTCCAGGAATAAACGTTTGGAAAGGTGTTTTTCTTTATCAAGAACTTTGATACTTGTGTAATTCATAGAATGCCCTGTTGTGTTAACATGAGATGCTAGAGCGCATCTTTCAGGATGAAGCTTAGCATCACTTTTGTGTGATGTAATCCTTCCTTTAAGAGATCTGGAGGTCTGACCTATGTATATTTGGTTGCAGTTGTTGCAATTGATGGAGTAGACTGTGTTGGTTAAGCCAAGCAGCGGGACTTTGTCTTTCATTTTTTAAAAAATGCAGTTTATAGTGAGGACGGATTTGCAAGCAATTCGAAAGTTCAAAGGACTGCACAATCTGATCAGCTTAGGGGTCAGTTCCTTGATATAGGGCAGGACAGCAAAACCAGGTCTGGAGTCCGGGTTGGTGCTTGTACTGTTAGGATTGATGTTATTATTGGGAATTACATCAGTTCCGTTATTAGGGGTTGTGCGACTATTACCTGCATCACCAGAGTTCGGCAAAAT